TTACCTGTAAAATAATTTTGTGAATTTGCAATATAATAAATTTTGTTGAAAGAAATTTGAACACTTCAAATGCTTATAAAAAAATCTTGCCAAGGTATATGTATTTTTAATATTTTAAATTGATATTTGAACAATGTGTGAAGAACCTTATATAACATTTTTTCAAAAAAAAAATATTTGACTCGACAAATAAAATAAAATTGATATTTAATGAAAAAAGAATTAAAAGATTGAAATAGAAAATAATAATAATATTTCAATTATAGAGGATTGTTCGTTTTTAATTATTTTACAACAAAATAAGAAAACCGTTCGATGAGAAATCAATATATGGGTGAATATCCAAGGTCGTAAGAATTTAAAACTTCAAACGTTCATAAAAATGTAATTTGACTTTCCGGTACAGATTTTTTTATAAAGGTATACAAACTTATGAGAAATTTTGTATTCAATTAACAAATCTTATATATAAAAAGAAAATATTTTATGAATTTGTAAGTCAAATGTGCTAACATTTTATTACCGACATTAATTTTAAAAAAACTAATAATAAAATTTAATATATAAAATTTCATAATATTATGCCAACTGATTTTGTGTAAAAACCCCCTTTTTTCTTTAATTTTGTTTTTGTGTTTCAAGGTGCTTTTTAAAACTACTAAGTATTTTTACCTCCCCAATACACCATCTAGATTCACTTTCCCACCTGAAAAGATAGGTATTCAAGTTGAAAATCGATGCATTATAATAATTATTTCGATTATTTATCATGTACACTAACACCAAAAAAAAAAAAAAAAACACTCATCTTTGTAAAATTAATACATTACAATATACTCCTCTCAGAATCTACAACTATTTAGTATTCTAGAATAAAATGCAAATAAAAAGTATTTTGAAAGTATTTGAATGGTACTTAACAAGACCGCCCTTAATCAGTATTGTAAGCACAGCTTGTGTTTACCGAATTTTAAAATTGAGAATAGTCAAATGAGTGTTACAATAACAATATTATATTATTATGTATATCCAAAGATATACGCATGTGTAATTGGCAAGAATATTTCATTTATCCGTGCTCACTGCTTACTTTGTTATTGTAATTATAAAATAATATGGATAAGTAATTAAACAAACTAAGCTTAATTATAATTGTTTAAATTGTATTATTTTATTTTAATGATTAACAATATTCAATATAATATAACTAATAGCCAATTATAATAGGCATTAGGTAAAACTTTGTCTGAAACTTATTCACTTTTTATTATACCGATATATTTACCTAATTAATATAATATTATGTTATTTACCATATATTGGAATAATAACAATAATATAACCAAAATATGTAATACATTTAAGATAAAGAAATTATCAAATACAATATCAATATAATAATATAATGTATAGGAATATTGATTAATAAACTATTTATGACAACGACAAATTATAAGCAAATACTATATAGGTATTCTATACTATACTATATACTATGTAAACAAATATATATATATATATATATATATATATTATAAAAAACATTGAACAAGCGATTAATAGACATAGGATAAATAGGATACAATAGTATGTAGGTATACAATTCAAAATTATATTTTCAAAAAACATAACAATACTAAGCTCTCCATGATCATTCTAAGTAGGTACTGATAATAGGTAAATATTATTATCAATTATACTTTTTTAAATACAATATCGGTTTCATTCTAGAGGCTTACAGGTTATATTTTAATGAATCTGTTGGAAATGCAAGTGTTAATTTATTATTTAAAAATGATTTAATTAATAATATATTATAGAATGATTTGAGTATTTAAAAATTAGAAAAATGCATTTTTTAATATATGGACGGATTTAAGAAATACCGTAAAATTGAAAAAGTCTTTATTAAAAACTGATTTTACTCTTGTAGGGTTCCAAAATAGGCAATATTGTTGAATTATGTTATTACACAAATCATAAAATTACCTAATTAATATGCGTATTTTAGTATTTTTCTGATGCATACGTCAAACACTGAAGGGATTTTCCTGCTCCTGACCCATATGACTGGGTAACAGTGGGTCCAGAACAAACAATGTGTTATTATAATATAACAAGATATTTTAAGCTCAACATGCGTTATAATATATTATTTTCCTATTTTCGTTTTTAGATTGTAGATGATTTACTGTTATCAATTGTACTGCCACGTTAGTTGAAAACATTTAATTTAACATTTTTAAAAGATTTATTATTAAATGCAATTATTATTATAATTTAAATAATGGAATAATATTGTTAATATATTATTACCTAGATAAAAAAATAGTATTTTATAAGAATATAAGCTTAACTGGTGTATATAATTTAGTCTGATAATTATAATGAATTAAGTTTTATAAATTAAACACATAAAAAAAAATTGAATTGGTAACATGATTTAAGGCCGCATTTTAAATAGACTTAAAACATTTAGATAATTCATATAATTAAACTTTTAAAATACAAGCAAAATATAAAAATTGTATTTTGTCAATTTAAAACTTTTTGCCAACATAATGTCATACAAATTTAAGTATAAAATTATGTTTTAAATAAATGGTCTTGGCCACTTCATATAATATAAGTGAAAACAAGTATTTGATGGACATACAGTTTAGGTAAATATCTAAGTAGCTAGTACAAATCAAATTTTATAAATTATTTGTATTTTTTATTTAATAATATTATAATAATAATGATTAATGAGCTTCACTAAAATGTTTAAGTTTGAAAAAATGTTTTTATATATCATTCATTATTTACTTTTATAATATTGTTATTCTTAACAATTTAATGTTTTTAAAATATTAGATTTGTATTTATTAATTTGGTTCGTTATACGTGTTGTAATAAAATATATGCCTTAAAACAAATTTCTCAAGTCTTCGTCTAAATTGATCAAAGCGTAATACTGTTATAGGTACAATACTAGAATTGGATAATATAGTAGAGAATGTGAGGACTGAGGATACATAGTACTATATTTAAATTTGTTTTTAAATATTTGAGCGTACCTCAACTTATATTTGAAAAAAGTAGAATGGCGGACGTTAGTTAACGAAAACATTTTAGAATATCTATATTATTGGTTTTTCCAATTCTAGCATTAATTTTAATACATGTAAATTGATTAACCTATAATAATATATAGTATATATACTGTTAAAAATCGTAATAAAAATGTTAATTTAATTGACTTTCGATTCTTGACAAATTCACTGATCATTTTAATGTAAACAAGTTAACTAAATTATCTTTACATATAATTTATCAGTTATCTGATATATGTAATTATTATACAGATTTCCAACTTAAACCATGCCTTAAACCTACCTAATATATTTTGAATATCGTTACCTACGCTTTATAAGATATAAGTCAACAAATAGAAACATCAATACATTGAGATAGGTTGGTACAAAATTTTAATTTATCAAATAGGTACAAACGAAATAGGAATATGTTTAAGTCAAAGGGACGAATTATATTCGTAGGTACTTTCATGGATTAATATATGTAGGTAGCTAATAATCAAACAGCTAAACTTTTATAGTCTTATTAGGAAGTAGGGACCAAAAATGAAACATTTATATAATGTTATAATAACAGTTAGCCTGCAACATTTATCGTTGTGTGATTCACAGTTACTACCTATTTATAAAATATATTAAATTTAAATTCATGCAATCATAATGTTATGTTTCTTAGGTTTTCCCAATAAAAACATCTATCTAACGCAAAATGCAAGATATGATATTATTTACTTAAATACCTAATATCAAGTCGGTACAACACATTTAGATGTTTTGATGAAAAATATGATAAATGGCTCAAGCCTAAACAAGACTTAATAATTATTAATTATTCTATCTCTCTATCAATTTTATAAAATATGACATAATAACTGTAAGAAGTGAAAAATCGTCTTTAAAACGACATCACTCACGTCTATAGGTACCTATAAGTGCATAATATAACATATGTTAACGAAACATTTAGAATTGATTGATTTAAAATAATATATGGCCATAACGCATTCATTATATGAATCATAAATACCTAATATAAAATAATATATGGTTCACACTCAATGATGTCCACGTCCAAATTAACAACAATCAGATAATAATTAAATAAAAGATAATAATAATATTATATAATATAGCAGTTAATTTTTTTTTTAGCAGCATTGATATCGATGCTCATATTGAATTAAGTTGCGCGCGAATTTCACTATAACAATAACACTAAATCGAAGAGGTTGCTGCAAAAATCACCAGATAAAATCGCTTTTTTTTGAAAATGTAAATTTTCACTGAATAAAACCAAAATCCAAAATCCCTACAAGTTTGTGGAATAGCCAGGTATAGGTAGGTACTAATAATTATATATAATACAAAAGCCATAAGTAGGTCATTAATAGTTTTTATTGTGAACGGACTTATCTTGATTTATTTTTTTCTTTTGGTGCAAAAATCAGACAAGTCCTAGGACTCTTCTGAATTTTGCTGCATATAATGGTCACATTAAACATAAAAAATAAACATAAGTAAACATACTATTGTATGCATACATTCCTCGACTTGATTAATGTCGAACGTGGCTTGAAAACAAAAAAAAGATAATTGTTGGGAAAAACCAGATAAGTCCATGTCAGTTGAAGTCTATTACATTTTTATGAAATTAAGGTAATATATCTACATATAATTCAGACGAACCAACAGTGTCCACTGTTCATCATGCAGTACCTTCCAAGGAATTAAAAATAATTGTAAATAATTATAGTTAAAAAAAAAAAAAATTTAGACCATCAAAAAGTATTGTATGATGATCCTGCAGTAACTTATTTCAAAAAGTCGACTCGTCTGGTAGTTTTTGCAGCAAGTCCTTCAATTAGTATATTATCATAATTATATAAATTGTCAATATCGTGTGTGTGTGTGTATGTGTGTGTTTTATTGATCTTCCGCTGTGGTGTTCTGGGGATCGATGTTATCCAGCCAGTTGACTATGAACATGTTCCTGTCGTATCTGGTGAACGCCTTCGGCTGATATCGCTTTATGGTGTCTGTGCACACGGCAATGTCGTCCGGGCACAGCGGCTTGCCGGTCCTCGGTACGCTCAAATATTTGTTTGACCCTGAGGCGGCGGCTATGGCAGCTCCGGTAGCGTCATTGCGGTCGGACAACTGCAGCTGGTCCGGTACGTGGTCGGCTCCTCCTCCAGAACTCGACTTGTCTAAATTGAACTCGCTCAGTGACAAACGTTCCAATGTCTTGTAAGTAATCAGTAGACGCCGTTGAATATAGTTTTGCCGCACCTGCAGAGGACACAATATTGTGTACATCATTAATCATGTTATAATAATACAATATAGGGTTCGGATTTGAAGTTAAATGCCTTTTTGTTTTGGACAGAAAAAGATAGAACAATAATTCTTAAATAAAAATGTGTTTTGTTACATTTTTTTGCTACCGAGTAAACATCACTTTAGCTTTTTTTATATTTTTTACCAGTAAATGCTGTTTTTTCTTTTATTTTGTATTATACCTATAACTATCAATTGATCACAATAATTTTAATCGTATTACCTACCGTGTAAATCGATAAGAGCTTGTAAAGACGACGCATGGTCGATGTTATGTTTAAATGTTTCTTCTTGTATAAACAACTATCCTGCACATTTGCTACTAGTTACTCCTACCTCCTAAGTCTAACTCTTGCAGTTAAGCACTCCACGGTAGAAGCCGTGAGCGTGCAGGTTTCTTGAAACTAAAATATGAATAATCGTATATGAAAGGAGGATCCTTAACAAGATCAATAATTATGACTTAGAAAAGGTAAGTAAGTAGATAGACTCGGATGATATAATTGATAAGATTCCGTGTAAAAGAAAAATGCATACAAATCATTATTGTTTTAAAATAAATAGCGAAAATGTTATATTATGTAGGTACCTACAATTTATAGGTGCCATTATTGTTTTAGTTTCTACCTTCTTATTATAATATGGTAGTTTTAAAGTTGAATTATTGTTTTATTGAAAGTGTAATAGGAGCGAAGCGATTAATTATTTTTTCCTTCAGTGAATTTAAAATGTTTCCTTTAAATAAAAAAAATACATAATGGCCACTGCCAATCCATACGGATAAATTACGGCCATCGGCCTGCTGACTGCTGAAAGCCAATAAATCATCTGGTTTCATCATGTATTCATCTACGTAAGTACCTTATATACGTGAATGTTTGACAAGATGTATGAGCATTAACTATTTACTCAAGTTGGTATTTGAAAATCAGTAGGAAAACAAAAATGGTTGTAGAATTACAAAGAATTTACCTCGACTCCATCGTCAAAGTGATCGATGCACGCGCGTGTCGGTGTCACGTGAGTGCATATTGCGGGCCCGCACGAGTATGAACAGTTCATACCCTCCACGTGACTATTTTTTTTTAATATGTTTATCCTATTGTAATGTGCATGATTAAATGGGGTAGGTAGGCACACACCTTTTTTTAAGAGGGACTCCACCCCCCTATGGCCCTATGAACTCCCACAATTCAAGCAATTAAAAAAAAAAAATCTTTTGAAACTAATTATTTTACCTATTACATACAATAGTTAATTATAGTTATTAAATACAAAGTTAATTAAATGTGATGTGGCAATTTAGTCATATATTATTGACATATTATACCTAACTATATAGTGGCTATAATAACGACAAATGAATATTATGTCAACAGTGACTGTCGACCGAAATATAATAAATATTTTTTGGTTCTACACACATTATTTTGTGCCATTGCACATAACGTCATCTAGATATTTATCCTACTTTGGTGATTGCAGTTTTTAACTGTTGTAGTATGTACATTACCAGTTAATAATAATAATTGATTAGATACACGGCAATAAGTGCATATCGAGTGGATACGTTTACCCAGGTGTAAGAGAGCCAAAATAATTTACTTACCACATAACTGCAGGGACAGTAAAATCAAGTAATAAAATATAAATTTGAACCGAATAAATTTAAATATATTATTAACTTTGTATAATCAGTTCTAGTTGTTTTATAAATTACCTAAGTAGTATCTAATTAGTTTACTCCCTCAAATTGACTACCTAAGTATATTATAATATTATGCAAGTCTGGGTATAAGTTAGGTTAAGGGTTAAAGTTAAGTTAAAAAGTTTATTTTATTTTAACTTTTTAACTTAACTAGATACTTATGGCTTTTCATTAACTTAACTGTTAACTTACTAAGTTTTTTTTTTGATTAACGTGAAATTAACGAATTAATTTTTCATTTTAAGAAATAAGTTAACTTAATTTATTTTGTTTTTAATTTTATTATATTTCATTATTTCAGTTTATTTTGTTTTCGTGTCAAAAAATATTTACCATGAATTATTTAAACTTTAAAGTTAAAAATGTATATCATTCGAATCTAACTTATATGGAAATACTGTATAAAGTATAAACACTATAGTCTATAATTTGGTTTTGGGTTAGAAAAAATTTAAGTATGCTAGTGTTGTATAAGCAAATTAACTTATTTTCACTTAATAAAAAGTTAAAAAAAAGTGTGTATTAACTTTTAACCTAACTGAGTTAACCTATAATTAAATTAACTTTTAACTTTTTGTTAACTGAGTTAAAAAAAACCATTAACATGCCCAGCCTTCATATTATGTATTTATATCGTACATTCTAAACTGTAATACCTTCGCTAATATTTTGTTTTTTTTTATTAATAATTTACGTTTGTGGTGGATTAATATTATTTTCCATTTTTTATAAATTTTTATCATATTATTGTACGTTATAATTAAATTTAATATTTTTATCTAGAATCGCTGAAAATATATTCCAATATTCTGCAGTAATCGTTGATACAGACCAGAAGTAGATAATAAATTAAAAAACTTATAACGTGGCTATGTGGATAATTTTTTACTGCTTTATCATATTGACAATGCCGAATCCCGATGTTTTGCGACATTTAGAACGGTTCTATCTTTAGACATTAAAGTGATACGTGACTGATCCGTAATAAACATGAACAATACTTGGTAGTTTATACCTATATCTTTAAATGCGAAAAACAAAATTTGAGACCAATAACTGATATAGAATCTAGATAATTATATTGCAAAACATTTATTACGTATCTTATTTTAGATAGGTAACTATATAATTACCATTATATTTTACAATCTGTCTGTATTAACTATTAGCGTTACGCCGTTACCCAGGAGCCACCAAGGGGAAATTTACTCTTTATAGGTAATATTGTCCCCCAAAAATGGTTTTTTGCATCCTTAATATAAGAATATTTGTATCATTACAATATGTATAAAACCTTTAAAAAAAAAAAATATGTAAATATTATAAAATATTATTATATAAATATAGATTGATATGTATGGCTTATACTGAATCTATAAAAATTAATTATTTTTATTTTTGTAAATAACCTCTTTTTGGGGGGAACTTACGACGATAACAGTACATGTGTTACGTAGCATTATGTATGTATGTTGTATTGTACCAATATTACTTTTTAATTTTATGTATATGTATGTACCATCAAACACACACACACAGACACCTGTACGCTCAAATAATAATTTGAAACTTATATACCTTTTTGTTGACGGATCTCACGAGGTCAGTGGGACTGAACGCGGACGACGCGTAGCTGTTGTGCAGCGAGCTGGAGTACCGACTCGGCGACGGCAGCTGCGACGTAGACGCCATGTCGCCGACCACCACGCACGTGGACAGCGACCGCGAAGTGTTGCCCAACCGGCCCTGCATGTTGGTGGCCATCAGAAGCACGTCCGAGTTTATGCGCAACTTGTTTATGGCCAGCTCGGAAGCGCTGTGCGGCATGCGGACGTCCTCGGTGTCCGCGAGCCAACACCCAGTGTCCATGCTGGTCGCGTCCGCAATGTCGCTGGTGCTGAAGCTTTTGGACAGACCGAGAGCCGACTGCAGTGCCCCGCAGCTTTTTATCAAATCGTTCTCTTCCTCGAACCACACCGAATTAGTTATGTCCTGTGACATCCTGTTCGGACACACGAAACAATAATATGTATAAGTATTTAATTGGGGTAAGGTTTAGGTATAAACATATATAATGGGGGGCTCATTGGCAGGATTGAATAAAAATGAAAATGACCATTGTTGCAGGGAAATTTAATTTTGGAATGTTTGTGTCAACAAAAAAATAATGTTATTTTTCGAATAATCTCAATTTTGTCCCAAAAAAAATCTCAAGTCAGCCACATCTCCCTTCTTGAAAAAATAATTTGTCCGCCACTGACTTCAACGAGTAAAACGCTAGGTTGGAGGTCCCAGCATGAGTCCATATGATTGTACCTATATTAAATTATTAAAACGTACCTACGTTTACAAGGCCTATGGTGAGATGATGTATCGGATAGGGGCTACAGGCAGTATAACTATTTCCACCAAAACTGTTCCTTTTTTTTCTTACCAAAAGTGTACTATTTAAGTGCCTTTTCCTCTCCCACTGAAATAACTGTGTGACGTTAAATCGCTTTAATAAATAATATAAAATAAACTATTTATGAAGCTATACTATAAGTTAAGGGTTTTTTTAAAAAATTTAGAATGCACCTAACAGGCACTTTTTAATCATTTTTAAAGTATAACAATAATATTATTATAGATACAATATAAATAAATTCGTATTAAATATAATTTAATATACCGTGTGTTCGCGAAATCAAAATATCTACACTGTATAATAAAATTACCCATATTACTCAGTACCCCATACATATTTTTAATTCAGTTGTGGGACATGATACTAGACTAATAAGATTATCAATCTCCCGCAGACAGAATTCTAAAATATGTCTAGGGCACTGAGTAATGTATTTAACCGAGTTATATGAGTACCCAGTTTTCACGGAAACACTCGCGGTATATATATATATATATTAGGTATTTGAATAAATAAGTATCTGTTATATTGATAGGATGGTACGTATCAATACGTGTTCGACAATCTCATGACTTTGGTACCTGTACAGAATAATATTGTGAACTAAAATATAATGTAGGACTACATACAACGTACTACCTGTATTAAAAATTTAAAATATGTACTAAATTAAATAATCTTAATAATAATATGTTTTATAGTTTATACTTTTATACAACCAAACCGATTTAGTAAAAATAAATATTGAACATATTATAATATTAAGTATTAATATATTGTGTTGTATACTAACTTGGAAAATATATATTACTGCTCTGGTGTAAAATTTGGTGTTTGCCATGTACAAGTTACCCATAGATACTGTGCACCGGCTAGACACGTCTGTTCCATAAATTAGCAATATTATCAGATTTAAGATAGGAACCTTCCATACTATAAAATTTATATTTTTTCGAATATTTTATCGTTCACCGCAGCGTTTGTTTACGGACAAAATATATTATTTATTAGACATATAGCTTAAACTGCGCGGATAAACATTATTGCAATTGATTACATAAGACTGAGCGAAGGTCGTAACGTAATTGCTTATGAAACGACTACTTAAAGCGAAATAGTTATATATATATTTAATGAATATTGATTAATATGAGTACCTATACGTTATTTTTGATACATTTGAAAATTAAAATCCAAAAGGTATATGGATAAATATTTTAATTATAATATAAGGTACCTACCTAACCTAACCTATACATGAAAGTTTGTGATAAATTCAAAAACGTCTATCTTAAGAACATATTATGTAATTCTATTATGTAAACTATTTTCATTAAACAGTTTGGATCTTTACGCATAGGCACATAATTATGGAAATAATTATTTAATAATCGACTAGTAAAAAAAAAATGTTTTATTTTACCTAAAACATAACATAATATTGTAATTATATATTTTTATTCAGTCGACAGTCATCAACCAGTAACCTGATGAGTAATGATTACTATTATTATAGGTATTATTAAATAAAAATATTTAAAAAAACTGATTTTAAATGTGATATAATGTTAGTGTTTGTAGAATTTATGCATTATGTTTACAAACATACTAGTCAGTAAACTACTATAGCCTGACATTTCAATAAATACATAAACCTAAATTATACTATGGCATACAATTCTATAAAAGTAATTTTCTGAGGCAAATTTTTTTTATAGGTTCTAACAAATTTTGTGTGGGTTGAAATTTAAATTAGGTATTGATTTTAAATTACCTTTTTTATTTTTGTATATTCTATAGAACAAAACCAATAAATGTGGTACACAATTCATATATTTAGGTATAAATAAGGGTAGGTGGTTTATGACAAGATAATCAATAACATACAAGAAATGGTACAAGATAAAACCTGCACCCTTCGGTGATAATATATGTAGATATTTTATGAATAGTCTTCTTACACATGTTTTATTAGGTGTTTGATATAAATGAAAACAATTAATGTTAAAAAAAACCAACGTAAACCACGATGAAAAAGAACACATAATTTTCAATGACAATTTAATATAAATAGAGTAATTTGCTATGATTTCTAAATTTATTCAAGGATAAAAATTAATTTTGAATTTGTTTAATAATATTAGAGTAATATTAATTATTAATATTTTTGTAAAATAAAAGTTGATAATAATTTTAAATTTTAAATTATTTATACTGTAATATATTTTTAGAAAAGAAAATTCCTTGTTTTTAAAAATATATTAAAAATAATTTTTGAGACAAAATATTTTACAACCAATTTAAATTTTCTTCTCTTTTTTATCGGATATAAATCCGACAAAAAGTCACAGTTTTATAAACCAAAATAGTAGTAATATAATTTTTAGAAGCATATAATATTTAACTATTATTAAAATAAGTATGTGTAAATATATAGGGTTGTATTGTGGTGGTGGTAGGATTTGAAGTGGTGGGTTTTTACAAGTGAGTGTTTGTGTTTGGTAGAATTTTTGATTGGACACCCGTAGGTATCTGCCATGCCCGGGTGGATGATGGAGGCACTTGTTCTCCGGACACCGTGACTTGCCCGAAGAAAAATTCCACCCGTGACCAAGGAATCGAACCGGCGCTGGCTGCGTCGCAACCGACGCCTTAGACCGCTCGGCCACTCCGTCCCCCATAAATTTTTTTCTTAAACTGTGTTTACGTATTGATGTTGTATTGTTGTTTATCTATTATGTATATTATGGGTAGGTAGGTTGCCGATTTTTTTTTATAAATAATTAAATTAAAATAAAAAACTTAAACATTCTATTTTATTTTATTTTGAGTGTTACTGCTTTGTGACTTCTCTCATCACGTCTCTGCGTCTTGTACATATATATATATATTTTATCTTCTCACATAATATGCTTATTGTAAATACTAAATACCATTAAGTACAGACTGTACCTATAATATATTCTAATAAATGTTAAAAAAAATGTATATTTTATATGCGGATCTTACATATGACATAGTATAATTTCCTATATATGTCATCTCTCAACTTTTATAGTTTATATTTTCCACCCTTCCGCTTATTTTGAACCATTTCGACCACTGGTTGTACTAATTTTTGTTAACGTAACCGGTATTATTTAATCGTCAGGATAATTTCAATGAATGTTTTATATTATTTCTTATTTTTATTATTAACATTTTTATTTTATTCACCTGTGAAGCATTATTACGTTTTTGATACGGCCTATATTCTGCTAATTTTTAAACATAAAATATATAATAAATAAGGTAGCATGGCAAAACGTAATTTATTAAGTGAATAGTTTAGTGAGAATAAGTAATAACTTTAAATGAACTTTACAATTAAATATTTTAATTAATTATATAAATACTTCTATTATAAGTATACACACCTACTATGGTATTTATAAATTTATAATCAATGTTTTAAGCAAAGATATGTCGGTCCTTGGCATAACTAAGTTGATTAAATATCTTATTTTACTGAAACAATTTTATTAAATTTAGTTATCTATAAAAGCATAAGCGAAATCTCAAAAACAATAATTGGTTAAAAACATTTTATTACGTGTCAGTGTTATTTACGTCTTAATTTATCAAATTATTTGAACAATTAGACACATTTAAAAATAGAATGTAATACAATATCAACCGAAAATATAATAATTAAGAATTTAAAACGAACTATTTAATTAAGGTAAAGATATGTGTATCTAAGTATAAGTATTGCGATTTCAGATTTGTATCATTTTATTTCTAACCATTCGAATAATAAAATTACGCAGTCGTTGTAAATAAAATGTTATGACTTTATGAGAATCATAGAGTATAAAATATTTGAGGTATGTACAATTTATTTTTTTGCATACCTATTGAAACATTAAAATAACATTTTTTACTGGAATTATTTTTCTTGATCTATTTTAATATTCAGTAGAGGATCCCTGCATTCGATTAATTTTTATAATTCCTGCGCATAATGCATATTATTTAAAACATTAATTATCTCATATTTTTGGAGTAAAATAGCTTGTTATGTTCATACGATATGATAATAATAATATGATCTGATGATGTTTATGACAATCTCTATTTTAACTACATTTTTAGTGTACAAGTGCGTGTCAATTAATTATTAATTTACCATACCAAACTCGTCTGTTTTAAACTTTTAACTGTAATGATGGCAAAACTCACGTGATGTATAATTCATTCATATTTAATTTATATTGAATATTTCTCAAAATTATATATATTAAATTATGTATATCGTGCAATCAATACCATCTACCTATATTTTTTTTTAAATAATTCCATGGCCGTTTAAAATATTTTTACTGCAGCATATTGATTAACGAGGGTATCTACATAATATTAAAACTTTTGAATTAACTCAAAAATCATACACTCATAATAAAATAATTGTTCATATAGTATAATATATGCATTTATCACAATTAATTTATATAATACGCCTTTAAGTTGAACTTAACAAGTGGTTGATGCAGGCGTGCAGTAATGTGCCACTTTACAATATTATAAGTATCTACTTAGGTACAGTGAAAATTGCAACGTGAGCTCCAAGGGCTAGTGAGTTTTTCTCGTTGTAACCACAAACCGATATAGCTTATTATATACTGTAAGAACTTAAAATGAGTGATTGTTGTAAATTGAAAGATGGAAAATACTAAAAGAAAAACCGATTTTCCTTACTGAAAACCCGTACCTACTTAGACTGATCGCCCGATATTATTGAACGTTTTTACACTTAATATATATTTATATATTATATATTAATATGTATACATAGTGTTATACCCTGCTCGGTGGTGTGGACGACGGGCGTTACATGTTCCCACTAAAATTATAAAGGAACTATTAAAAGCTGCTATATATAGTAAGTTTATTTATAATACCATAAAATATTGAAAAACAGTATAATATTATACGTTTTAATAAAATAATTTTTTTAGCTATAATAATACTATGGGTAATATTTATAAATTTGATTTTTTCTCTGCAATTAAACCATACTTGTGATTGGTGGCATTTTGTTGTTCTTACCTATATCGACATATACAGGTACTAAACATTTTTAATTGCTATTTAGCTATTAGGTACCTATAATTTATTGTTTTACTAATAAAATATATATATATATATATATATGTATATACAATGTCAGACGTATCAAATATAAACGCGGGGCTAGTATCAATAGTATAATACAGTATAATAGAAAACCATGATTTTTTGGCTTATTAGTTATTACAACATTTTCAGGCTGAATGATAAAACTAACTTCGGTTTAGCCAGCGGACTATTGAAACGATTTTGTGAAGACAAAGTAGGTACCTATCTATCGCAGGATTCTCGAATTCGGAATTATGTATAATATGTTAAGGGTAAAGTAAGAAGGAAATTGTTATCTGAAAATGATAATATTGAAAGTCCCATATTTCCTACAATACCCGAACATAGTATAAGAAAATGTCAGTGAAAGTACTAGTTATACTATGACACTAATACACTATGTTATACACTAAGTTATACTATGTGGAAAAAGTTAATTAAATTGAATAATTGTTGAATGAAAATAACGGACGCGCCTATACTCCGTAAGTACGTATTAAACACAGGCCACTGGGTAGTATTACAATTTACAATTTACAATATCACAATAATACTGCATAAATTAACCAAATTGCAGAGTGGATATAAGGATATGATCGCTTTACGTCACGTAAAACTTTCTGAAAGATACACATAAGTGTGGTTACAAAGTTCCATAGTGTGGTTGCAAAAGTTCCATTAGTGTGGTTGGAAAAGTTCCATAATAGTGGTTCATGTTGTAAAAACATTAATTATTTCGTGTGATAATATTATGTTTGATCAAATTGTATATTATAAGTTCATTATGGTTATTTTAACTCTAATAATATAGTGGTCCGTATAAAAAATAACTTAATAATAATTAGGTAGGAAGGTACTGCTTTTAACAATATTTTGTTTAATATGTTAAATAACATTTTGTTTTTCCCTAGCTTTTTGATTGTAATACTTCAACTTTTTAGTCTATTTTAATTGTCTTAATAGTGGTTTAGATAACAAATAATATTAGGCAAACCTAAAAGTATTTTTTAATTTGTTTTGTTTTTTCTAATTAAATACTATGTAGGAGCCTACTGCGTGTGATCGAATTTTGTCAGTTTTAAATTTTAATATTTATTTGAATTCACTCGCCTTTATTCGGTCACTGTGCGCAATATGTCGGGGCAAGGTAGACTATATATTGAAATGCTCTTACTTTTACGGCAATACCTGACTATTCATATTCTTTGCCAGCAACATAATATAACTAGGGTTTCCAAACGGTCGATCGCGATCTACCGGTCGATCTTGGACGATTTCAGAATCGAACCCATTTGTTAGGTACATAATATATTATATTAAGTTATAAACTCATAACTATACAGTTGTATGCATATTTCGGATTAACCGATTTCTGTGAAATGGCATTTTTTCACACGAAATGTATTAAAGCAGAATACCGAGTAACATTTTCAGATAATCATTTAGAGAAGCGTCTTCGTTTTTCAGTCAGATACTTTTTCCCAGATTACAATCAACTGGTCAACGAATGACAAGGCTCTACGCCAAAAGTATGATGTTAATTTATTTTGTAATATTCTTATATAACTTCCCATTTCAATGTTTTATTAATATAAGTAGGTACCTATACTAATTGTTATTAGGTTATATAAGTTATAAATACTTAAAATAAAAAAAAACATTTTTCTACGACAGTTGATCCTCAAAGGAAAGATAATATTATATACTCAGTAAAATTTAATCAAAACAAGTTTGGCCATCCCTGTAAATATTATAATATCGTCATACCTATATCCACATCATCGTAGATAATAATATTATTATTATAATATACCTTTTGAAAAACGCTTCGGGATAAGAGCTGGTGACGCGGTTCAGGACGACAGCGGTGGTGGCGAAGGGCTGTTGTTGCTGTTGATGGGCGCCGGTGGAGGTCCTGGAGGCGGCGCACGACGCAAAGTCCTTGTCGCGAGACGGCGACCGCGGCATCCGACAACCGGTGGCCATTATTATCGGCAGGTTTTGGCCGCCACCGCCGCCGCTGTTGCGATTGTCCTGCCGGCGACACGACTGCAGTCCTCCATCGCTGGACGTCATCGTTATCGATAAGCTCACGCCGCAGTATTCACGGTATATACCACGACTCAACCTCGTTTGATCGTAATTACAATTAATCAGGTATAGGTAGGTATGCCGTATTATACGAGCAGCCGGTTTTGGCCTTTGACGTGCTGCTGCAACTTGTGGCGCCGAGTACTTTTGCACGCTTTCCTCTTCGGAGACCGGTGGCAGCGATGGTGAGCGTTTTCGTGCCGACGGGCTCGTACTGCGCTCGCAGCCGGGCCGGGTCGCGCGAGTAACACAACAACAATACAACTTTAATCGATAGTAGAGAGACTCCCGTGGTAGGCGGCGTCGACGGTGTCGGCGATATCGGTGGCGGCGTCGGCGGCGGCGTATCATAATATATTATATTATTATTACTATGTATGTATATAAGCTATATGATGTCACGTCCAGTGTGACCGCTTCGGCGGGACCGCCAAGTCTATAGGTCATAATATTTGGTATATGATATATCATATTATTATACGACCGGGGATATTACATCAAAACATATAACTATATTTGAAGCCCGGAAAAACGCCGTTTAAAATGCACCAAAATAATGTGCATTTAACAGTTTGTTTGAACGTATAAAAGTAAGTAATGAAGGTCTTTAAAAGTTTTTAATTATGACCAAAAAAATTGAATTAAATCTATTAGGTATTCGGGCAAGCGCTTACTCAAATCATTATAATAAAACTGTACCATTAAACAGTAGGTAGCTTGTGCAAAATGCAAAATAAAAAAATACTTCATAAAATGGGGGAGGGAATGTTAATGGCCGGAAATTATTTAATGTAAATCGTGTTTCCAAAAATAATGTTAGTCATATTGTGCGTTAACTGCGTCCCGCGAAATTTTGTTAATTTTCATTTGGGGTGATACAATTTAAAAACAAGTATACCTATCTAATGATCTACAAATCTACAATGACATATTAGGTGGTTACAGAGGTGTTGATTTCACTAATTGAGTTTAGCAACGGAACCCAACCTTGAAAAAACTTAAATACCACACCATCCTGTGTGCATTTAATTGTACATAATCTCGTGTTAGTGAACAGTTAGTGTTGCAGGAATTTCTTACGAGTGTAAAAATAATTAACCTTATGATAAGCGATAAGAAAAAACGTTGAAAGAGATCGATTGCTACACATTTTTAAAAAAGCGATAAATATTCAACGTCGGGATCACATCGTTTGATTGTATAGGTAAGTGTATTAGATTCTGAACAGAGCAAAAGAGTGTATTGTATTAAAAATGATTTTTTTTCTGTCTGTCATCATTCATCAACATTTGGAGTAAGATAAATGCTCCAATTTTCGACATCTGCATTTTTTCTGATTGAAAAGTAAAAATAGTTGGTACTTTTGAGAGGCCAAAATTGAAAATTTCCAGTAGTCTTAGAAAGTGTCAGGAAAAAAAATGGTAATTTTCTACCATAAGCTAAATAAAAAAAATTACTGGAAAGTATCATTCTTTTTTATGAGCGTTTAAATTTAAATTTTTTACGATATTGAATTTTCAACACTATAAATTAACAAATTTTCATCTATCGATTTTTGATATTTTGTTGTAATTAAAAAACAAATAACTGAAGACAGTCAACATTTTCACCAATATTAAAATTACCATTTTCCATACATGGTAAAATTTACAAACCATTTTGACTCTTTTGGAGCTATTTAAAAGCATGTAAACATTTAAAAAATGTTTAAAAATATTTTTTATTTAGAAATTCATTGAAGTTTTTATTTTATACCTAAGATAAAATAAGTTAATAGAAGATTCTATACGAGTTTTTATACCTATTATAACAAACAAACATAAGTTTACTGAAAAGGAACATTAATCTTTTATGAGCGTTTGAACTTACAATGACAATGTTTACATTCTTTAATATTCAACAGTAAACGAATTCCCATTAATTGATTATTAATATTTTGTTCTATTTCTAAAACAAATAACCGGAGACTTTTGAAATATTCATCAAATATTTATTTAAGCATTTTCCATTCAAGGTGATATTTCCCAACTATTTTGACTCAATTTTTTTCTCATAGAACTTCATGATAATTTTACTATTCACAGGTAACATTGGACATTGTAATAGGGGATTCCCAACAAGTTGTGCTACCTCTATCGATAAGAAAAGTTTCACAGGAAAGTTACTCTATTTAAAGCCATGAGATATTTTAGATATTATTCATTTTTATAATTTTTTTTTTTTTTAATCTATTAAATTTGATTATTTATACAACAAGTATGCTAGGAGGACACAGCGTTGTGTCATTGAATTCAAATATTATAAAACATCCTTTCAACGATACTATAATAACGATAATAACGGTACAACTATTTTACAGCAGAGCAGTACCCACTTGTCCACCTTTTGATTTTACAATGATGTGTGTTTATTTTATGTCTGTGGACATGAGAGGTAGTCGAAATAATGCTTCGATTCTCAACATTAGTATTTTTTCCGGTGGGAAAGTTAAACTTGTTGAAGCATTAAGAAGATCAAAAATTAAAATTACCAGTAACTTTCATATAAATCAGGAAAAACAGAACAAAAATTAAGAAAAAAACGGGAATTTTTACTCAAAATCAGTTTTGACAAAATCAATTTTGGTTTTTGATGTAAAACTTAAAAAAAATGAAAATTTATAACAAGATTGTTCTTAAGTTTTTATATATTTAACAAAAACATTTTTATCGAAATTTTAAATTGAATTTTTACGAGTAATTGAAGTGAGATATTGGGTATTCACTTGTAAACTAACAAATTCTCATAAAACGATTTTCTAATTTTGTTGTTATTCAACAATTATAATAACCGTAAATACTTGAAATTTACACCAAATTTTTATTTTATCATTTCTTATAATTGATATATTTTGACTTGTTTTGAGATGTTTTCAATTTTCAATTTTTTTATTTTTAGATTCTGAGTGGAACGATGAATGTATTGATTCTGCAATGATGTGTGTTTTTTTTTATTTTTTATTTTTTGTGTCTGTCATCAGGATTTGGGGCAGTAAAACTGCTTCGATTTTCTTCAACGACTTCAACAGTATCTTGTTCGATGGGAAAGTGAATCTAGTTGGTGCAATCGGGTGGTAAAATTTTAAAATTCAAAATAGTTTTCACAAGGGCCGGGAAAAACAACATAAAAATTAAGGAAAAATGGTATTTTTACGCAAAATTGGATTCCCACGAAATCGATTTTGATTTTTGGTGTACCAAAAAATCTAAAACAAATGAATGTATTTACATGAAATTTTCAATAATTGTTTATATGTGCATTTTCTATACTCGATGACATTTTCAAAATATTATGATTTGTTTTGAACTGTCTAGGATCATTTTAATTTTCCATTTTTTTTTTAGTTTTTTTTCTAAAAATATCAATAACATTTTATTTTTTCGTCAAAAATTTAATAGAAGGCTCCTAGAATATTGTTTCAAAGGCAGATGAAAAATATTAAAAATCCTTAGTCACAGATTTTTTTTATAAGCATTTAAAGTTCAAAAATTGACAAAATATGGAAAAACCAAGAAAATTAGCAAATTATTTTAAGTTAAGAATTCGTAAAAATTTTTCTTTTTAAATCTCTTTTTAATTCTCTACCGGAAAGTCAAATTAAATTTTTATGAGCGTTTGAAATTCAAATGTTTACAACATTGGATATTCACTCGATTTCTCATGTAGCGATTTCCTTATTATGTTGTAATTCAATAACGAATAACTGTAGATACATGTAAATTTCACTGAATGTTAATATTAGTATTTCCTATACACCATATCATTTTCCGAATATTTTGACTCTTTTTGAGCTGTTTAGGGACATTTACAGTTTTCAATTTTTTTAATTTTTTCTATAAATATCAATAAAGTTTAATCTGTTGGGCCAAAAAGTGTATAAATTTAATATAAGGCTCCTGATATATTGTTAAAATATTAGTTGAAAAATATTTACAATACATAATCACAATTTTTTTTTATAAGATCGAATTTGACTAAATTTATCAAATTTAAAATTGAGTAATTATTTTGTAGTTAAAAATTTATAAAATGTCCAACTCTCTTATATCTAAGGAGTAAGGATTGAAAATTTAAAACAAGATTCCACTTAAGTAGTTAATTCTGTTACCGAAAAATCTAAAAAATACATAAACAAATTTTATTTTTATAGTCATTTTAAATTCAAATTTTGACGAAATTACATAATAAAAAACCTAGAATAACTATTTTAGATTGTATAATATTATTCGTGGGTACTTGAAACTTCTAAAGTACACTATGATAGTACCAGGGTTTGTTGTTGATTATGTATAACACGTTATAATAATTATAACCTACTGGATATTGCGATATGATTAATTTGGAAGTATTATATTATGGTACCTATTATAGGTAAATTTTTTTGTAATACCATAGATAAGTATATAATATGTCTTTACGTAGACTGGCATACCGTCTCTACTCAGAATCGTTTTTCTTATACAATGATATTATATCATTGAATTCAAATTTAATACCATCCGTTATACAGTGACCCACTTGTAACCTACTGTACAGCAGAGCAGTTTTTTTCTTTAAATGTCAATAAAATTGTGATTGTTGGGCAAAAAGCTTGACAATTTAATACAATAGGCTCTTGATATATTGTTACAACAGAATTTGAAAAATACTAAAAATACATCGGCATGTTTTTTTTTATAAACATTTTAAGTTCAAATTTGGACGAAATTTCCATATTAAATAACCATAGAATATAACGGTTTTAGCTACAATGTTGTAATTTTCAAATATTATTCGTGGGTACTTGGTAACTTCACAAACATATTATTATAATATTATAATGTGCAAATAATAATAAAACAACTTACCTGCTACCGTATTAATAAATAATATAAATATAATTAATATAAAATAATATCGTAGGCTGAATAGGGCTTACCCCCCCCCCCCCTCAAAAAAAAACCACGTTGTGCGAACTGGTTCGTACCATATTGCAGCGCATGTGTTTAATATGTAGATTGAAGGTAGCTGTTTAATTTTGAGCGAACGGACGCGATTGCTTATGGTTTAATTTGTAATTCTAAATTATATAAAAATAATTTTTCTACTCAAAAAATTAGTTCAATTTTTTTCATCAAATGAATGACGGATTAAAGCTTTGATGGTAAAAATGTAGAATGCATGACATAATTATGGAGTATGAATCATAGTAACTACGAAACCTACACATTTAGACGAGCATAATATGATAATAATAATATATTGATATTATACAACAGAAATTAGAAAGAAATTTAATTAAGTTTAAAAATACGAGGGACGTCCAGAAAGTAAGGTTACAAGGGCTGTGTAGGACGAAGGGAATTTTGTTTTTTAGAGTTGTCACCACTATCATGTAGAGAATTTTCTAACGATCAAAACAAATCATCAAACGCCTCAGTCCGTTACGAAATGTCGTCACAGCAGCCAAATGCGTCAAACAATGCAATATTTTTCAACTGCTATTGTAACAATATAGTCGGAGCCTTCTGTTGAATTTTCAAGCTTTTTAGTTTTTACCCAAAAAATAAAGTTTTATTGATATTCATAGAAAAAAAGGTGCTCTGCTGTACAGTAGGTTACAAGTGGGTCACTGTATAATGGAAGGTATTACATTTGAATTCAATGATATAATATCATTGTATAAGAAAAACGATTCCGAGCGGAGACGGTATGTCAGTCTAGGTATAATTAAGACATATTATATACTTATCTATGGTATTAAAAAAACTGATCTATAATAAGTACCTATAATAAATTATAAATTAATCATATCACAATATCCATTAGGTACTTATAACGCATTATACATCAACAACAAACCATGATACTATCATAGATATATAATAGTGTTCTTTAAGAGTTTCAAGTACCCACGAATAATATTAGACAATCTAAAATAGTTATTCTAGGTTTTTTATTATGTAATTTCGTCAAAATTTGAACTTAAAATTACTATAAAAATAAAATTTGTTAATGTATTTTTTAAATTTTTTGGTAACAGAATTAACTACTTACGTGGAATTTTGTTTTAAATTTTCAATCCTTAGATATAAAAGTTGAAAATTTTATAAATTTTTAACTACAAAATAATTATTCAATTTTAAATTTGATAAATGTTGTCAAAATTGTTAAATTTTTAAATGCTTATAAAAAAAAATTGTGCCTATGTATTTTGAATATTTTTCAACTGATATTGTAACAGTATATCAGGAGCCTTGTGTACAATTTTTACACTTTTTGGCCCAACAGATAAAACTTTATTGATATTTATAGAAAAAAAACTAAAAAAATTGAAAACTGTAAATGTCTGTAAACAGCTCAAATAGCGTCAAAATATTTTCAAAATTGTATGGTGTATAGGAAATGCTAATTCAGTGAAATTTTCATATATCTATAGTTATTCATTTTTGAATTAGGTACAAGAAAATAAGGAAATCGCTACATGAGAAATCGAGTGAATATCCAATGTTGTAAAAATTTGAATTTCAAACGCTCATAAAAATTTAATTTGACTTTCTTATGGAAATTTTTTTTTGATAAACGGTAGATAATCTTATAAGGAATCTTTTATTACATTTTAAAATCTTAGATTTAAAAAGAAAAATTTTTACGAATTCTAAATTCAAAATGATTTACTAATTTTCGTGATTTTTCCATATTTTGTCAATTTTTGAACTTTAAATGCTTATAAAAAAAATCTGTGACTAAGGATTTTTAATATTTTTTATCTGCCTTTGAAACAATATACTAGGAGCCTTCTATTTTTTTTTTAAATGTCGATTACATTTTTATTGAATCAAAAAGCTTGAAAATTATCAAAACATTTTTATAGCCAAGGATTGAAAATTTAAAATAAGATTTCTCATAAATATTTCATAATATTGTAACCAAAAAATCCCTGTTTAATAATTAGGTACACTCGCATCTACTATTACGCAGCAGAATGACTTCCCTAATATCTGAAGTTCTCATACCGTTGAAAATTGTTTAACCACAAGCTGATGATACACTAAAAAAATTTACTGATTACACATAGTATTGGAAACATACGTAGGTATCCATCCAGGTTTCAGAATTCCCACCACAGATGACAGATATGAGCAGGATTTGTATCCTATCAACAACGAGTGCACAATAAATAATAATAATTGTCATATCTTATGAATAAAACAGTTTATTCAATTCATCGCACACAAATAATATATTGAAATTCATTAAAATTCTAAAAAATTGCAAAGTTGTATGCATCAGTGGGGTAGCAAGGATTTTTTTCGGGGGGTGCTGATCCACTTTTAATCTTTTCCACATTAAATACGTACTAGCACAGATAGATAGCTGAAAAGTGTTAATACTTATAGTACCTACATTTTTAAATATTTTAAATAAAATTTAAGACTTTTTGGACAACTATCATAGACCATTAAAATAATTTTTAAATGTTCTCAATATTTCGGGTGGGGGTTGCAGCCCCCTCAGCCCCTCCCCTTGCTACGCCACTGGTATGCATATAATATATTATATATTATTATTTAATACAATATATAATATAATATAATATATACTTACAGATACCTATAATATGCTAAATATATTATATTAGTTTGATAAGTAATGGGAAAACATAGAAATATTCAATTACATTTTTGTTAGGTACTTACAAATTTATTGTGAGAATTCTGACAAATTAGGTATGCTAAGCCGGGTTCTGGGACTTAGCATACATTTCCATAATATGCTGTCGGCAATGCGTTGATATTCGATTACGTTTCCATTTATAATGGGAAATCAGAAACATCGTAGCTGCTATATACAGTATCAGAAAGGTAATATTGTGTAATATTATGACAATGTATGCTAAGTATAATATGTACCCGGCTTTACGTAATTTCGTTAAAAAAAATTTTCCACGTTACTACCCAGCACAACAACAATATTTTAACTATTGTCTATTATAATACCTACCTACCAATTTTATGCACTAAGTACGCTATGCAAGCCTCTTCCGTCCTGTTCATCCTTCTAATCCAGGGATCGGCCATAGGGGGCCCACGGAGAGGACATAACTGGTCTGCCAAAAATATTTTTTTTTAATGCTGGTTTTTCGCACATAATAGATATTAATTGATCTATTTTTATGATGTATTTGGATGTATTTTACATACATATATAATAAATATATGAAACTATTCGTTCTCCAAAATTACATTTTTAAAGAATACCTAAATATCGTTCAAAATTAACTGATCTCCACCTTGAATACACTCTAAGCATTGGTTGTACTTCAAGAGCATACCGAATTTTAAAAACTGACTAATATTATATTTTTATATTAAATAATTTTTTTTAAACAGTTTGAATCGTATTTACAACACAAAAATAAATATATTAATTATTAACTAATATCTTATTTTTTCTGGCCTTTGACATTTTTTTCAAAGAAAATGTCGTTGAATTGGATTTCCGATCTCTATTTTAACCTATAACCTGACTTAATCATTTATAATAATCCATTTTAAATATTATAATAATAATTATTAAAATAATAATAATTATTATAATAATTATGGACAATACCATAATTATTGTATAATATTTTCTATATGTTGGAGATCGTGTATATTATTATATCGTGTTCAGTCTAAAAACACGTTACATTTAAACACAAAGGGTTAATTTAATTTTGAATAGACAAAAAATAAATGAATATGAAATTATCTATGTTGTACTATTGTGTATAATATTTCAAGAAATGATGAACAGACCTTAATAATATATGCAGTCTTGTTAAGTACCTATTCCAAATTCAAATATTTGTATTTATGTATACTTTTAGATTCTGAGAGGTGGTAAAGTGAATCTAGTTGGTGCTTAGCGAGGTTGAAATTTAAAATTCAAAGTATTTTAAAAAGCGCCTGAAAAACCAAAAAAAATTAAGAAAAAACGAGCATTTTTAAGCGAAATTGGTTTTTGTCAAAATTGATTAATTTATTAACTTTTTCTAATCAACGAAAAAAAAATGTTGACTTGTTTTGAGCTGTTACAAGGTACGTGACGCTGAACGGTGTTAGATAAAAGTTAAACGTGACTCATGGTAAATTATAAACGCTAAAACGCTAAAACGCATTTCGGTAGAAAAAATGGACACAAAATATTATACAGCTTAATTAATAAAGCATTGAATGTATTTTATTAAAAACACTATTTTCTACTAAAAGTGACGTATTTCCGTGCAGTGTAAAACAAAAGTTAGTAATTATATGGTTATATACTTATATATAGTTTGTATAATAATATCAAAGAAAGTGTATTGTTTATGAAAATTAATTTCTCGACAGCTAAATAATAATTATACTATTTAAAAACTCATGATTTTTTTTTTTAAATTTGTTCCCCTTTATCAGCGCTAACAAAATGTTATATTTTCACGGCTGTCAAAATGTTTACTAAACGTATTGGTCCGGAAAATAATTAATAAATTACACTAATTGTTTTGACTTGGTGCCAACGACGAAAGACAGTAATGAAATTACTCTCAATCAGTGTTAACACATACACACACACACACACACTCACGAGCGCGCAATAAACGAGACGATGATTGATACTTTTTTCAGACTTTTCGCCACGATTTTCATTTGGCCTTACGCAGGATGTGACTCAAATCTATTAGCACAATGTGCTGTGAAGTTGCTGAACGTAAGTAATCTATTCCGGACCACGGTTTACGTTACGATGAGTCCAGGGGTCACTCGTAACTTTCGATCGGAACTGTTGTTTTCTATGCACCAAAACTATAAGCCCGCGTTGTTGTTGAACGAATTTCACGTGGAATTATTCAACCCGAATCGGTATATTCTGCCGCACGCGTACCTGGTGGCCGCGCGTAACACATCCGATCTAATCGACCATTTGGACAAGATTAACGTGACGGACGCGTTGTGGCGACCGGAAGTGAATTTCGTCGTGATCTTGGAAACGTTCACCGAGCTGTCTGAACACATACTTGAACCCGTGTTTCGGCGGTTCTGGACCAACAACATGTTCAAGTCGGTGTTACTGATACCGGCGATCGACGAAGACGCAGTCGAAGCGTTTTACTGGTATCCGTTTCAGAAGAGGTGTGGTGAGTACCACACGCCGACGCTGGAGGACTTGTGCACTCGGGGAGACAACAACGACAGTCAATGGACCGTTTTCGACGTGTTTGAAAAAATAATACCCGACACTTTCTACAACTGTACGGTGAAGATAGTCGGGTTCAATTGGGCGCCCATGACTTTGCTGTCGAATCAGACGCCTAGGACGATGTTACACGGCATGGACGTCGAGGTGGTCAAGCTGATGGGTCGGATAGGAAACGTAAAGCTGGAGTTTCACGAGGTAAAAAAGAATCAACGATGGGGAGTCAAGTTGGCGAACGGAACTTGGAATGGTGGGTTTGGTGAGTTGAGCAGACATCGAGCCGATTTCCTAATCGGTGGAGGAATTCTCACAGCCGAACGGAGGGAGATGTTCGATTCCGCACCGGCACGGCAAGTCATTCGATTTCCAATTTACACGCCACTACCGAGAAAGTTGCCATACTGGCAAAACATATTAAAAGTATTTTCCGGTAACTTTTGGCTAACGCTATTCGTAGTTTTCTTCTTGACATCTACTCTGCTCTGGCTTTCTGGTATTAGTTTACCAACGGAGAGACGTGTGTTTTCCGACTGTGGTTACTGTTTCATTATTTCTTGGGCAATATTGTGCAGCGTAGCCAGTGGACAGCAACCCACATCGGTGTCGTCGAAAATGATTTTTCTCTCGTGGGTCATATACATGTTGCACATAAGTGCTGTGTACACGTCGATGCAATTGATATACCTGTATAAGCCAAAGTACGAGCCGCCAATGCGCACCATAAATGACGTCAGGGAGTCCGGACTTACAATATGCAGTGTACCGACTTTTATACCGATCGCGCACGCTATGGACAAAGAAAATTTTAACTTAACCGAGTATATACCCTGTATTGATATGGTGGCATCTGCAAAAAGACTTTTGAAGAAAAAAGATATCATCATACTTGACCCGGAAGACCATTTCGAGGCTTTGATTTCGGGTTCAATCAAAAAAGTCAATAAAGTGGAAGAAGTAGTTATTGTGTACAATATTGGTATATTCATGCAGAAGGGGAATCCGTACAAAGGTATACTGTCGAAAGCCCAAATCACTGCATATGAAACTGGATTGCATGATAAATGGAGGCAAGATGCATCACCATCACGACCAATAAAGAAAGAAAGAAACATCAAAGTGAAGAAATTGAGTGTTAATGAATTACAGGGTGCGTTTATAATACTAATATGTGGACTTGGAACGAGCTTAGTGATATTCATTTTCGAATGGTTAATCGGACCAAATTAATTTATTGCCTATAATATATCATAACCTATTTCTATACACTTTACAATTTTGATATTTTCTATGCTTCGAGGTAAAACTAATGAATCATTTGTAAGTTTTTGGTGATCACCGTTCTAATGCAATAAATATACTTACAGCAATAAAAATGTATAGTACCTACGATAACAAACTCGGTTTATCACGTAGTTCAAAATCGGTTAACAAAATACTTTTCATTTATTTTTTAATGTTTGGTAGCCATTACAAATGTAATGCGAAATAGGCTACACGAAATCGTCCAAAAATTAATTTATATAATCTAATAGATAACGATCAACTGAAATAACTTAATAACGATTAAACGATAAAACTTAAGTGTTAAGAGGACGAATGTAAGACATAGTAAAAACGGTTTTGTTCGGGAAAGAACCGAAAAGGCTACAGTAATAACTAAAAAACCAAATTATCAACACATAAAAAAAAGAACTTTTGCTGAGAACTAAAGTTTTTTTTTTTTTTTGATATCGAAACTACAAAAAAAGTTACTCAAGTTTTTAGAACACAAAAATAATGGATTTTGAAACAATAAGAACTTTTTAAGTAAATACAGTGATAACAAAAAATAAAAACGATATTTCACAGAAAATGTTCGGAACTATATTTTGTATATCAATTAGTCTTAACTATCACTATAGCCTGAGTGGTTCTATCCCACCCCAAACAGTTTTGGTATGTTGTACATTTGTGACGGAGACAACAGTACAACACATACGGGTGTATAGGGTTTTCTTAATAACAATATTGTTAAGTTTACCAACTAGATCAAATTTTCTAACCACCCTCAAAGTTGAAGATCATTTTTTCCAATATTTATCATATATACGCCAACACAAAAAAAACACACACACATCATTGTAAAATCAATACATTTGTTGCTCCGTTCTGAATCTAAAAGATCCAGAGGTGAGATTTATCTCCCTTTATCTCCCCTCTCCCAAATACGTCATTGATACAAATTATATAAAATATCGAGTCGAGAATTTCTTGATTTTTAATTTTCAGAGAATTATTAACTACCCTTTTATATATGTATACATTTTATTACAATAGGATTAAACCAAATGTACTTTAGGCAGCAGTGCTTATAATGGAAATTTCTCTGACCCAGAACGTATTTTTTTTGAAGGAGGTATTCAACAAATTATTGGTCCGTTTTTTAAATTGTAATCTTTTTTCATTCTTGAATGGTTCTATTTGTGTGTGTGTGTGGGTGAGTGGGTTTTTTTATGATGCATAACCCTAAAGGTCTGTTGAAATCTAGCTAAAATTCATTATTTTCAAAACAGTTAAAATATTCATTAATTAATTTTTGAATTTCACATTACGTATCTAATTGACAAGTCGTTTTTAGTGAGCTATCTACTAACTTTCTAACTCTCGTATAGTTTAAGAGTAAAAAATAGAGTTTTCAGAGCTAAACGCGCTGACGTTATTCTGGATTTAAATCATTATACAACTTGGGCATGGTATATCAGTTCATTAATATCTTATATTATTTAAAACTAACTCCATTACCCTTCTAATTATTATTACTGAGTTACATTTTATTATTATCCTGTTTACCACAAGCTCTTGAAGTTTTCGAGATCAGATTTTTTTCCATTACCATTGGTAGGTACTTACTTGATTAAAAAGCGAGAGAGTAAAAATACATTTTTTAATAACGTTAATACTTTTCGAGGTAGATACCTACCTACCTAATGATAGTGCGTTCGCCATAAAAATATAAATTGCACCCCCGCCAATCACCCCGCCGTTTAATAGTCGAGACATTTACTTAATTGCTGTACGCGATATGGTACAAATTAAGCTGATATCTATTAATAAAATTATATTATTATTATTACTATTATTATTATTATTTTAACAGTTAAGGTTGAGTAGACATCGCCGCCGCGGTACACGTCGCGTCACCGCAATCGCGCGTGGTCTGCTCCCGTAAAAAAAACCATAGTAATATTAATAATATTATATTACATAGAAACACTAGCGTTCTGTGTGTGACTGTGCATTGTGTGTACACACAATATACTTTTACTGTGTATACGAGCTGTATACAATATATATATATATTATTATAAACTGTAGCGAGAGTGGGGACCCGGATATACGAGCGCGTATCGAATGGGTCCACCGACTTGTGAAATTACGTTTGGGATATATCGTATAAAAGGCACGTTATCTTATGATGGCGGGGCAATATAAATATAAATGCGAAATACGCATATATAATATACATATAGGACATATATACAATAGTCTAGATATAAATAATATAGGTATAATAGGTATATTGTATCACATTGCTGCAGTTACGGCACCGAGCACTGGTTATGGGACAAACCACTGCACTGTCTGCACTAGATTATAATATATACATATATATATAATATAAACCGGGTGTGGTCCATTTTAAAGTAAGACGTTAAGGTTCATTATTATTTCGAAAATAGTCGAGGTTTTTGAAAATATTTATTTTATTACGTACCTACCTAATTTGAAGTCGTTAAAAACAACCATTTAAAAAGAAAAAAAATGTTTTTGTTTGCTTTTTTATTGTTTTCGCTTTTTTTTTGTTTCACTTTCTGACAGCATGCATTTTTAATTCCTTATCTCAAAACAAAATATTTTCTAGAGTACTTTGATAAACAAAAATTTCGACTTTTATACGAGTAGCTCATGAGTTATAACTTATAACAATTAACGAGTATTTTAAGTTCAATGAGCAGAGTGGAAAGTTGCAGTGCGGTGCCACTCAAAATTTAGGCCCACTGCTCCGCTCGTCTAAACTTTAAATACCTATTATAAAGATTATAACTAATAAACTTAAAACTACCGACGCGTACATACACAATTCGATTTTTATTCATAGAAATACTACGAATATTCTGCTTCGGAATAATATGAAACTAAAAACGTTCGTTGCTATTGAAATGAGTAAAAAAACGGGCAAGTGGATTTCGCCGCTGCTGTACAGTAGGTTACAAGTGGGTCATTATATAATGGATTGTATTAAACTTGAATTCAATGATATAATATCATTGTATAAGAAAAACGATTCTGAGCAGAGACGGGTTGTCAGTCTAGATATTTTATATTGTCATTAATTATTATATCATGTAAGTTGAAAAATATTAAAATATTATTATTTTTTATTCGTTTGTATGGTAATAAACAAAGCGTTAGAAATTAAAATACAATTTTTAGCGGTTTTTTCGGTGGTTTTTACAGTGGCATTAAATTAAAATTATTGATAAAATCGATAAATGACCTCTCTAAAGTACCATCTTGATCCAATTTTCTAAAAGATAAGGTACTATAAGTTGAAATCGAAGCACTGCTTCTAGTAGAAATTTTGTATACAGGATATAAAAAAAATAAAAATAAACACCATTCTAAAAATTAAAAAAACAATAATTTATTATTATAAATATAATTTTTTTTACAAAAACGTTGTTCTGTAACTACCTACTTAAAATTAGATAAAATAAATGTTTAAAAAGTTTGTGTTTTTTGAATAACTGAGTATCTTACGTTAAATGGATCACCCAGTATATATTTATAATAATATATATAGGTAAGTGTTTATATATATACATAGTTACATAAAAGAGAAAACTGCCGGTTGACGGCCGTCAGTTCAATAACACTCTGCAGTTCACTAGGTAGGTACATAATAATATTACAGTACTGAAACCCTGACTTATCGGACACCTGTATATATAACGGCAAATAGCCTCCCGAAGATTTTTTTGGTAAATTTATAACAGTAAAATTTACGTAAAATTTGTTGATTGGTAGAATTTGTAAAAAAAAAAGTGCAGTTGTAATTTTTATTATAATTTTCAGATAAAACTTTCGTTCCCAATTTCTTACTTTCTCAAAACTTTTTTATGAAGTGTGTAGTCGTGTAAATGTAGGTTGAATATTTTTTTTTTCATTTTTTCTTTCTACCAACTTATATCTAACCTATTCTTCTATATACGGCTATTATACGACTATATACCAAAATACACTGTCTGCATTTATAGTCGTATAGGCTACTCTGGCTACCTAAATAAAAGTTATTATCCGAGAAAAAACATTAAAAATGAGGGGTTACTTGATTTTATGAACGGTAAAAAAACCTGGGTAAAATGTACGCTTACCTACCCGTACAATTTTCCCGGTAAATTTACTGAGCCCCATCTCTACTAAAAATGAGAGTTGCCTCGCGTCGTACCCTAAATTTTATCGTAAACGAAAAAAGTTGAACTATTACTACTAATTGGAAGGCAATAAATATACCTATGTATTTGTATAAGCTGTTTCTAATTTCCTTAACGATTTAAATATAGGTATTAATATGTTTAAATAATATAAAAATTATAATATTTACATGAATATATTATATATTTTAGTATTTATAGTTTTAATTATATTCCCAAATTATCATTACTTTTAATAGTTGTATGTAGATTTATATATCATATAATATATATCTACCTAAGACTGATATTATTTTGATTGTACTACATAATTCTAAATTATAGATATTATCTAAAAACGTATTAAAATAAAATCACGATGTTTACTATTAAAAATTATCTATAATAATATATCTATATAAGACTTATTTTAATCATTATTATGTACATAATATTATTACATTAATTTATATTTTATTAAATATATGTCATTGTAAATTTGTAAACTCAATTTTATAATTAGGTACCTATTAATGCAGGTACCTATTATAACACAATATGATAATGTTATGTCACAATATGATAATATTATAAACTAATTATATACATAAACTCATCTTACATCGATTGTATATTTTTGAAAAGAATCACTTTTTAATTATATATAGTAACTATAATGGCAACTATAAGTGAACATTTGTAGATGATAGGTAACTCATAATAATTATGAACTACCCGATCATCTGAGGCAACTATAGTATAATATTATAATAA